TTGCGAGATAATCACTGCTAACTGTACCTACGTTTTATTTAAAGAATAGGAAGGAAAAATGATAATCAGTAACTCCCCTGTGTCCATATTGAATAGTAACTATATTGTATTAATGTCCTTGCTGTTCTGACCGCTATAATTATGTTTTAGTCTCAAGAGACTTGATATATTTCCTGCCTAGTTATACACCGTGAAATGTACTGTATTCCGTTTTCGTCCCGCGGTAAAACAATTAGCCATAAGGAGTAGGTGCTTTCGATGTATAAAGTAAAAAATTAAGATGTCATTTTTTTTAATTAAAAAAATATCATGGAGATACCTACGCACATGAATTACTAGAAGGAATTCGCTGCCATTGCAGCGGTAAGTCCCCTCTTTGAGGAGTGGCCTGAGAGACGCTACGGCGTCCTCCCCTCCGCCTGACGCTGGTCCTCACCGGACATGGAGGTTTCGGGAGGTACCTGTGTCTGATGGGGCGCTCCTCGCCCGGGTGTCATCACTGCGAGGACCGCCCTGAGGACACGGTGGAACACACAGTGGAAGAATGCCCTGTGTGGGCTGAGCACCGCTGTGCCCTCAGGGAAGTGATCGGCGATGGCGACCTCTCGCGTCCGGGCCTAGTGCAGGCCATGATGCGGAGCGAGGGAGACTGAGATGGCGATTCAGAGTCGCGGAGAACCTAACGGGTAACCGGGGCTCCGGCTCGACGTTCAGGAGAAGGAACGGTGTGGTTTTTAGTCAGTAAGAGTCTGACACTCCCTCCCGCCTCAACCAGGCGGGAGCAGTCATTCAATGATGAACCCCTCTTAAAAAAAAAATCCCTGTTCCCATCCCGATCCCTTCAGCCGTTTAGACTTGATTGAGTAACAACCTTCTAAGTGTGGTTGAGTACGAATGGGCCGGATCGACCGGAGTGATACTGCCGAGCTGAAAACTAACGTGAAAATACATAACTATGAATTATTATCGACTATTAATTAATATGTTACTAATTACAAAATAACCAATTAGTATTTTGGCAAACATCCCAAAATTTCCCCTTAGGTACAGAAACTGTCTCGCAAGTGCGACTGCCGGGCAAGGGGTCTCGGGTTCGATTCCCGGGTCGGGCAAAGTATTACTGGGTTTTTTAAATATTCTCAGTAGTAGCACAGAGTCTGGAATTGTGCCCGGTATATGGCAATAGGCTCACCCTCTATTACATATGGGACTTATAACATAAATAGTGAAAAGTGAGTGTTACATTGTACAGTAGCATTAAGTACCGTAACGTGCACATCTGCTTATCCCTTCGGGAATAAAAGGCGTGATGATATTTTTATATAGTACAGAAATCGAAAGTATGGCTTTAAATAAACAAAGATCAAGGTCGACAGGTACGATTCTAACTATAACACATGATGATCCAAAATATATGTGTATCTAGTCGGTTTTGGCAACCGATCAATTTCGCGGCCTTGGGACGAGGTGTGTGTACTTGCCAGTGAAATTGTCACAGTTCAATGTAAAAGAGGAAGCGATATGAAAGGAGTAAGGAAAAACATATATAACTACATAAATATTTATAACTTAAAATTAACCACAACTAAACTAATAAATAAACAAAGTAAAAAAAGGAAACAACAAAAATTATACCCTATAATTTAGGCGTCAAATTCGTCCGTATGACTATCACAGGGGAACGTTCCCAGTAGATTGGCAGCATTGCCACGTTGAATGGCAATGCTTATTTTCTGTCCGAAGAAATAGCCAGCCCTCTGGTCACGTGTAGAGTCGATTAGCCTACGGGCGATATGAAAGAAAGAAAGAAAGAAAAACCATTTATTCTTGCGCAAAACACACATAACATAATTAAAAATAAAAATAAAACAAAATAAAAGCTAAAAAAATTAAAATCTTGTCCATGGTCCACAGACTTATTATTTTACTGAAATCATATAATAATTATCTAATATTATCTGTGGACCATAGACAAGGAACACCCTATACTTATTGTACAGATTGTACTTCATATCTATTGTCTAGTGGCAATGTTGCATGCATTTCTTAAAATTGGTTAAGGAGTATATTATTATATAAAAGTTTAATTATAATAAAACAATAGGATACAATTATAGGTACTTGATGCTAGCGTAACCCATATCTTTAAAAACAGTGTGCACTGGGACCCCATGGCATGTCTTTATAATAACCATCGTGAGACATGCCAACTAAATTAACTAAAAATCGCGGGTTACTCACGTGAATATACTGAGAAAAGCTCTACTAGTGAACCACAGAGGGGTTCTTCCTCATGAGCAGCGTGCGCGGTCGCGGCGATGTCGCGCAGCCTACTGTCCTAGTCAGTCATATTTTATTATCACTAGCTTCTCCACTGGGGCTGCTCGGTTCCTGTCAATCGCAGCGTTATGTTTTACAGCCTATACCCTTCCTCCATAAATGGACTAACTGCAACAAAAATATTTTTTAAATGCGGTCAATAGTTCCGGAGATTAACGCGTCTAAACAAACAACAAATAACGTAGATAATGTACGGTACGCTATCTCCGTATCTGCGTATCCCTTTCCGTCCTTAAATGGTTGAAATACAGGCTGTAAACAACGCTCCCGAAAACGCTGACAGGTGATAGTAAAGAACAAGTTTAATTTTTGTACTAGCGAATAGCATTCATAGCGTTGCTTCACGTCGGTTTTCTGTAAGGCCGTGGTATCACTCCGGTCGATCTAGCTTACGGACTAATTAGATTTTTAATTTTCATACCCTGTCATCCCTGAATTCAATGACTTGCAAGAGACAATTTACGGAAATCAATTTGTTCTTATAAATAAAGTATTGACTATATTAGGAGCTACGTATTTTAGAAGGTCGAGCGACATGCTTACTTCATTGCATGGCAGCAATCATAAAGCTGAGTCGCTTCCGACTGTCTGTCCCTATGTATGCTTAGATCTTTAAAACTACGCAACGGATTTTGATGCGGTTTTTTTAAATAGATAGTTATTCAGGAAAGTGGTCGCAAGTGCGACTGCCGGACAAGGGGTCTCGTGTTCATTTCCCGAGTTGGGCAAAGTATTACTGGTTTTTTTTTAATTTTCAGTTGTAGCACGGAGTCTGGAATTGTGCCCGGTATATGGCAATAGGCTCACCCCCTATTACATGGGACTCATAACATAAATAGTGAAAAGTGGGTGTTACATTGTACAGTGGCATTAAGTGCCGTAATGTATACCTCTGGCTACCCCTTCGTGTTGTGTGTTATTTAGAAACCTTGTAACATTATATAAATGAGAAATAGTGTTTGTTTGTTCTTTGTCTTCTGTCGTCAGACCTCTTCATGAGAGGGTTTGTCATGATCCTCACACTTGAAGGTCGTAGTCTTAAACGGTAGAATGGAAGAAGATATTGTGCTGACCATAACTAGCATGGATTTTTTTATGGGTAGAAAGTCACCGAATGTCTTCTCCCGGCTGGGTGAGGCGGGAGGGAGTGTCACACTCTTACTGACTAAAAACCACCCCGTTCCTTCTCCTGCACGTCGAGCCGGAGCACCGGTAACCCGTTAAGTCCTACGCGGCTTCGTACCCTTCTGACACTCCCTCTCGCCTCACTCGGACGGGAGAAGTCTTCGTATGATTTTCCCCCCTGAAAAAAAAAGCTTGGCAGCAAGGATCGAATAGAATAATTATTTATTTGCTCAGAATGTGAGTAATTACAATTCCTGGAAGTTTAAAGTTTCAGCCTTTCAGGTTTATCAAAGAGCGCAGCTACGAAGTAAAACAAAAAGTGAGATTTTATACGCTTTAGAAGTCGCGTGCGTCTTACGTTTATTTATAAAAAAAAGTAAATAAAACTATAGTATATGCCTTAGGCTATAAATACAATCTACACACGAGATCTTCCGGTAACTTTGTAGTGGGTTTTTATGATTTATTAGCCATTGGGCTACTATCATAAAAACCCACTACACTATTTTGTTTTCGTCCCGAAGCAAAATGGTTCTGTCTCGGTAATACAATAGTTTTACAAACAAATAAAATGTTTAAAACAAAAAATAACTGGTGAACTATTGCAAAAAGCAAACTTCGAAAGCGCATACGAACTCATAGTACATTATCAAAACATCACGCCATGTAGTTCTCGAAGAGGCATTTCTCGTCGGGTGGCACGTGCGATGCGAATAGTACCTACAAAACGTCTAGGTCTAGTGTTTAATGTGCGTATTTCTATTATTTTTTTTAAACTAAAATATGACATCTTTATTGTTTTGTTTTTACTTTATACATATAAAGTACTCCTTATGGCAAATTGCTTGCCGCGGGACGAGAATGAAATAGATGTCACGGTGTATACCGTGGAATTATCTGTCCATCTGTGGGTTGTGACCTATGTAACAACTGAATCGATTGTGATGATACTCAACGACAAGATAGAAGATGAATAGTTCTAAGAATAAGTTGATACTTATCACTTTTGCGTCCATTAAGAGGTAGACAGAAGTGTATTGTATTTTTCCCACTGATTTTAATTACATCGGAGCAAAACACACACTCCCTTTATCTCCCTAGTTTTGCATTAAAAAACACGAACAAACAAACTTCCAATCATGATACATATTATACCACACTATCTCCTTTTGCACGGTTTCACCCGCTGCTCGCCGCCTAGTTATGTAAGCGTGATGTTTTACCTATAACAAATTAGCAACATATCATACCACCACGCCTTTTACCCCCGAAGGGGTAGGCAGTGGTGCACATATATTAGTGCCATTATACAGTGGCACTAAGTGCCATGGCACCCACACCCACTTTTCACTATTTATGTTATGAGTCCCATGTAATAGGTGATGAGCCTATTGCCATATACCGGGGACAATTCCAGCTTCTGTGCAACTACTGAGGTTTTTTTCAAAACCCAGTTGTAATTTGCCCGACCCGGGAATCGAACCCGGGAATATACCTACCTACCTATCTAATTACTCGTCTCTTTCCCTCATCAGGTATTCGAGCACGCATACTCAGCAGGACTAAGCCAGGAAGACATCCTTGACTCCATAGCGTCCATGCGGCCGACTCCAGGAGTTGAGAAGCTCATCACCTCTCTAGCAGCTGAAGGATGGGACATAGTGCTGATCACAGATGCTAACACCGTCTTTGTACAACATTGGCTCAAAGTCCATGGTTTGTTGGTGAGTTCATACTGGTTCATACTATTATTAGCTTTAGCTAGCAAAGTAGGAGCCGCGGAAGGATTGCTTTTTTAATGTAATAGGAGGCAAACGAAACAGACGGATCACCTGATGGTAAGCGATCAGCGCCGCCCATGGACACCCGCAACACCAGAGAAGTCGCAGGTGCGTTGCTGGCATTTTAAAAAGGAATACGCTCTTTTCTTGAAGGTTTGAAGGTCGTATCGGTTCGGAAATACCGCCGACGACAGATCATTCCACAGTTTTGCTGTGCGAGGCAGGAAGCTACGTGAGAAGCGCACAGTTGTGGCCTGCCAACCATCTATATGGTGGGGATGTATACGCTGTCGTGAGGGTCGATTTAGACTTAACGGGTTTCCAGAGTTCCGGTTCATTTAGTCACGGAGCCGCGGAGAACTTAATGGGTTACCGGGGCTCCGGCTCGAAAGGCAGGAGTAGGAACGGGGTGGTTTTTAGTCAGTAAGAGTCTGACACTCCCTCCCGCCTCACCCAGGCGGGAGCAGTCATTCGATGATTTTCCCACCTTAAAAAAATATCATTTATTTTATTCAATATCCACGCAATACGGATGCAATGAGCGCTAGTGTTGCAACTTAAGAGTACCAAATTTTACTATACCAATGTTGATCCATCGGAATTAGATTCAAGAGTAAGTCCCCTGATGGTAAGCAATCGGCGTCGCATGTGTAAATTTGAAGTCCTTTAATAAAATTTTTGAATGCACGCTGCCACATACTGCCAGGGCACGTGTAGCGGGTTGGACCCCACAGTCACGCCGAATGTCATCCACAAATTGCTATTTGGGTCTGTGTGTGTGTTGTGTATGTGAACTTGTATGTTTGTAATCGCAGCCACGAAACAGGAGACAATCCTAGTGTGGGGACAACGTTTTTTTGTTTAAATTAAAAGTGTTTAAGCTTCCTGTAACTTCATTCACACGGCAAATATAATTGTTAACACATCAAGAAGTTAGTTCTGAATGTATATTTTATTTTAACTCGTCGAGTACCGGTTTTGTAGACACAATTATAGAACAATAGGTTGCGGTCACCGGTGACCGCTTGGTGTTTGACAGTTTAATTGCATATTGGACCACCACCGAAAGGTATTGTTATCTAATATCCATTTTAAAAAAAAACCTATACAACTCTCAGAAGTGCAATAAAGGTCAATCACGTAACAACATCAGCTGATCTCCTGACTAAAATCCAGTTCAATCCGGTCAAACATTCGTGACTGAACCATTCGGTAAATCTCACAACTGTATGCGAATGTGTTTAGAACAATAACTTGAAATTGCACCCAATTAACATAAATATAAAGTAAACATATACCATTGAATAGAGTTTCACGTGATATTTTTTTTTATGGAATTGACGGTAAACGGTCTTACGGACCACCTGATGGTAAGCGATCAGCGCCACCCATGAACACCCGCAACACCAGAAGAGTCACCGGTGCGTTGCCGGCCTTTTAAAAAAAGAATACGCTCTTTTCTTGAAGGTTTGAAGGTTGTATCGGTTCGGAAATATCGCTGACGACAGATCATTCCACTGTTTTGCTGTGCGAGGCAGGAAGCTACGTGAGAAGCGCACAGTTGTGGCCTGCCAACCATCTATATGATGGGGATGCAATGCTGTCGTGATGTATGTATCTAGAATTCTAGATGATACTTTTTTTTTTTAAGGGGCGAAAATCATCGAATGACTGCTCCCGCCTGGATGAGGCGGGAGGGAGTGTCAGACTCTTACTAAAAACCACCCCGTTCCTTCTCCTGCACGTCGAGTCGGAGCCCCGGTTACCCGTTAGGTTCTCCGCGACTCTAGATGATACTAAAAAGGCACCTTCGAAATTATTTATTTATTTAAGGACAACCAACAAAGCATACACCAAAATACATGAAAGGTTTTAAACATAATATTTTAACACTCTATAGTGTAGCCTTAATTAAAGGCTGCCACGACATGCATTATAAAAGAACAGGATAAACAACAAAAAAAAAAACAATAAGTTCGCTTATCAAAAAAGACATCAATTTCAATCACAATTGTTACTTCTTCTCAACTTTTAAATTGTACAATTTTGATTTGAATATGTAGTACATATTGTGCAGTTTAACTCTGTGAGAATGTCCTACGCAGGACAGTTTTCACTTTGAAAAGAGAATAGGACATGTCAATATCCACACTAAGTGAGCATGACAGGCGACTAAATTGTTCTTGCATTCTATTAATTGAGGAAAAATGACCCAGGCTTGTTTTAAAGCCTTTACCTGAAAGCAACCGATATCTAGACATTCGAGCCAGTTTGAAGGGCACATTGACATTAATCTGGCTAAGTAACTGCGGACAGTCGATGTGATTGTTTATTAGTTTGTACAGGAAGAGGTGATCTAGAATTTTACGGCGATTATCCAGACTCATCAGTTTAAAATACCTCAAACGAGAGCTGTAGCTGGTTAATTTATTAGTCATGTGACATTGATACGTCAAATGCCTAAGGAATCTTTTCTGAATGGATTCTAAACGGCCTTTATGAATATCGTACAATGGCGTCCAGACTATGCTGCAGTATTCTAAACCTGACCTGACTATTGAGTTGAAATTATGGCATTGCAATGGTAATTATGAAATAATGGCACTAGATTAAACTCTTATTTGCCAGCGTATGAGAACACATTCATCACCAACAGCCTATAAAACCGAGCAAAGCGTCAAACACAGAGAAGGTTTGAGCATTAATCACCACGCTTGCTCAATGCGAGTTGGCGATTACAAACTTATAATTAGAAATTATAAGCCCAGGTTTCCTCACGATGTTTTCCTTCACCGTTTGTCAGTGGTCTGTGAATAATCCTAGAAAGTACACATAACTCGGAAAAAGTCACATTGGTACTTGCCGTTGGTAGGTTTCGAACCGGCACTCTTAAGCATGGGAAGCGGGGGTATTAACCTCCGGGCCGACACATTGTGACTTGCGTATATCTACGTACCACCATCATCATCATCAGCCCATGTTCGTCCACTGCTGGACATAGGCCTCTCCAATGGCACGCCACTGAGCTCGGTCTTCAGCTCTTCTCATCCAACCACTGCCAGCCACCTTGCGGATGTCGTCACTCCACCTATCTGGAGGACGCCCTACAGTACGTTTGCCCAGACGCGGTCTCCACTCTAGAACTCGTTTACCCCAACGGTTATCGGTTCTTCAACAAACGTCGTTCCGGCATACCATAGGTTAATAATCGTCATATTCGTGTAATAGCGCGACAGTCGCCGCGTCGTTGGTCTCGGAATGCTGTTCATGAGTGAGCCTTTAGCATTACTTGAAACTAGTCGAGTTCGACATTAAATGTCACCTATTTTAGCTTAGGGATTTCTTAAATTTTTGAGGAGAGTTAAAGGTTAAGCTGAAGAATGAGCTCAGTGGCGTGTTATTGTAGAGGTATATGTTCGACAGTGCACGGGAACCGGCTGATGATGATGGTGAAAACGGACAACTCCAAATCCTCGAGCGGTTACCGGTGACCTCTCTCCACTATAGACCTTATTTCCGATGTTTAGAGACTACTTTTGTGCGTTTAGGCATTTTTGGGAAGCTGTAGCGTGCTTGTCCCCAAAAAAAACCGTTGTGGATTTTCCCCAATTTATAAAAGGCTGGCAACGCACTTGTAACGCCTCTAGTGTTCCGTGTGTCCATGGTCAACGTCGATTGCTTACCATCAGGTGATCCGTCTGCTCGTTTACTGGCTTATGCCATAAAAAACGCAGGTACACCCGTAGGAAAGTGCTAGTATGTAATATCCTGAAACTTTTATTGCGTAAAGTAATTTCGTAATTGAAACCTTGATAGTTGGTAGTCACACACGCTATAGACGAACAAGGACGGGCAGTACTAATCATAATTAGATATTTGGTTTGTAATATACACCTACATTTTCATAGATGGCTGTTCATATATATACGTCTACATAATAGTTCATACATGCCTTTCGCTCATAGTTGTTTTATGGTATAAGCCGGTAATCGAGCAGACGGATCGGTGTAGCGGGTGTGTCCGTCGTACCTATATATTGTCGGTTCTTGGAGGCCCCCTGACAATGAGGGCCCTGGACACGGGCCCCGAGTGCCTCTATGGTAAAGACGGTACTATCTCCCGCCCTGGGTGAGGCGAGAGGGATTGTCAGACTCTTAATAATAAAAAACCACCACATACCAACTTCTGTTTTGAGCTGGAGCCGTAGTGCGGAGCCCCGCTAGCTCTTGCAGTTATCGCAGCCCCCGTCGGGACATTTATACTCATACATCAGGCGCTAAATATTTGGAGGCAATTGCTTAAGAATTTTAGCCAACTTTAGACCCATACTCATTGAGGGAGGCCTATCTTCAGCAATGCAAGTCCACGTCTTGTGGCTGATATATTTATTATTAATTAACTCTACACAAAAATAAGGGTTATACTTATAAGGCGGACTTAATGTCAAAGGCAGAAAATAAAACAAAAGTAATAAATAATAGTAATTATAAATACTATATAACATATTTATGATATAATACTGATTAGAAATATTTTACTGTTACAGAGCAAGATAACAAAAATAATAACGAACCGGGCGTTCTGGCAAGGAGACCGCCTTTTCATAGAGCCTTGTATGCGCCAGTCGAGTTGCCCACGGTGTCCGAGCAACCTGTGCAAGTCCCGCGCGCTGGTCGAGTGGTGCGCCAGTCACTCGTACGCCAGGATGGTGTACTGCGGCGATGGGAGGAATGATTTCTGTCCTGCTACCTTCTTGCCGGCTAATGTGAGTACAGTTTTAGACATCTCAACTAGGGTTGCCACCCGTACTTTATAATAAAGTATTGTACGTTATTCAAGGTAATTGTACTCTATCCTTACTATTATAAATGGGAAAGTGAGTTTGTTTGTTTGTTCCGCTTTCACGCCGTAACTTCTAAACCTTGCTCCTCTAAAATTGCTTTGAATTTTTCCAGACGTAAAATTAGAAGTCCGGATTAAATAGTAGGGTACTTTTTATCCCGGAAAGTTTTGGTATTCCCGAGGGAAAACAAAAGAATTGGTATAGATGGCGTTGTGTGTATTGGTATAGGCTACTTTTATCCTTTTGTGACGCGAGCGAAGCCGAGGGTAAAAGCTAGTACTTTATAAGAATAATAAAGTACACGATAATACTTTATTTTTGCAAACTTCTATTAAAGTCGTAAGTATTTTTCGGTAAACTTATCGATTCGATATCGACATTTATCGATTTATGTTGAATCGATTTCGCCACTCGCCAGCGCCACTTAGACAATGTTTAGTAAAGATACTAATTTAAACTGTCAAACACCAAGCGGTCACCGGTGACCGCAACCTATTGTTCTATAATTGTGTCTGCAAAACTGGTACTCGACGAGTTAATACAAACTGCAAAAAGCAATAAAATAATTTAATAATATTTAAATATTTAATTTATATTTAAATATAATACTTTATACTAATATAGTTTATATAGGCTTTTTGTATTGACGTTATGAGATATGTCATACGTAACTTATTTGCTGGGTTGAAGCCGTGCGTGTGCCAGGGCAAAAAGGTTTACCTACTACAAACTAAATGACCACATCACTGAGGGTACCCTTCCTGTGGGGTTCGAACCTCGCTTGAAAGAGACGACATTGTTTATGATCATAATCATAGACACTTCAAAAGCGGCAACGCTACGCATCCCGTGCAAGCGCCTGCGTCGCCTACATGTCGACCAACATGGCGCTAAGTTTAGGAGTGGGAGGTTGTTACGTCATAACGTGCTACAAAATGTGGCACACTGTGACGTCGCATGATATTTCAAATTCAATATTTCAAATATCGTCGAAAGTATTTAATTTTGTGAGAAAAGAAAAAATACGTGTCTAAAGTTTTAAATTAATGTACCAGACGGACATTAAAATAAAATTTACGAAACTACCCTATTATCGAGTGCACTATTTGTAGCCTTAGGTATTTTACTACATTATACAGTCC